GGGATTCTTTTATTGTATTTTTGTAATGTGGCTGTAAACATAATAACCTAATATAACTATATACAGTGTTTAGCATAAATGAGTACACCCTTTTGGAAAAGTAAGATTTGAATCAATATGTCAATGAACACAAGAACAATTTCCAAACGGTTGACAAAACTGAGTTTTATAGAACATTTGTTTAGCTCATTACAATGAAAGTAAGGTGAATAATATAACTTAGATTACAAAATCTTCAGTTTTACTCAAATTAGTTGATGCAAATATAAATACACCCCACAACAAAAACTACTACATCTAGTAATTTGTATGACCTCCATGATTTGTAAGGACAGCACCAAGTCTTCTAGGCATGGAATGAACAAGTTAGCGACAGATTGCAACATCTATCTTTTTCCATTCTTCAAGAACGACTTCTTTTAGAGCCTGGATGCCGGATGGAGAGTGATGCTCAACTTGTCTCTTCAGAATTTCCCATAGGTGTTCAATTGGATTCAGATCAGGAGACATACTTGGCCACTGAATCACTTTCAGTCTGTTCTTCAGAAATGCAACAGTGACCTTAGATGTGTGTTTTGTCATGTTGGAAAAGTGCACAATGACCAAGGGCATTGAGTGATGGTAGCATCTTCTCTCTCAATATAGAGCAGTACATCTGTGAATTCATGATAGCATCAATGAAATGCAGCTCCCCGACACAAGCAGCACTCATGCAGCCCCACAGAAGGACACTGCCACCACCATGTGTCACTGTAGACACCATGCATTTTTCTTTGTACTCCCCAACTTTGCGATGCCATACAGTTTTAAAAGCTATCAGTTCCAAAAACATTTATCTTGTCCTCAACACTCCAGAGTACAGAGTCCTAGCAGTCTTCTTCTTTTTTCACGATGGGCCCTGGAAAATTCTAGGTGGGCTTTTTTGTGCATGGGCTTTAGGAGAAGCTTCCTTCGTGGATGACACCCATGCATGCCATTTCTCTGCAGTGTATGCTGTATTGTGTCACGGGAAACAATCACCCCAGTTTGGCTTTCTACTTCTTTAGCTAACTGCAGTGAACTTGCATGGCGATTTTCTTCAACCCTTCTCATCAGAAGACGTTCCTGTCGAGATCTTAACTTCCGTGAATGGCCTGGATGTCTTTGTAAGATGGTTGCAGTTCCATCTTTGTTAAATTTTTGTATCACTTTTGCTACAGTATTCTGACTGATAAGTAATGCTTTGCTGATCTTCTTGTAGCCTTCAACTTTCTTGTGTAAAGAAAATATTTTCTTACTCATGAAACCTCCCCCCGATCTAGAGACTTGTAGAAGTCTCTAGAATTCAATGGGTGGGGGTGAAGAGGAGCTGGTGTGCACTCTCAAGGGATCCTGGCCAATCCCAAAGCAGGAGACTCAGCCTGTTCAGTAGCAGGAGAGTTCAGGTGGAAGATGGAGTGAGCAGGATGAAGTGTGGAGCCTGAGAGGGGGTCCAGAAGGGCCTGCCTACAGGTGGAGGAGCTGCAAGGGAGGATCTCTCAATCTCATTAATCCCTAAGAGAGGACAGCCTGGAAAGCAGGTAAGGAGCCTGCCAAGCTTAAGGCCTGAAGGCAGCCACAACCCACAAGCTTGCTGGAAAGACTTGAGTGAGTAACCCCACATCCCCTTGGCTGGATAAGGGGGAAACCTGACTAACCCCCATCTGGGACTGCTTTTATTTAAGGTGGCAGCTTCTGGGACCTTTTGGCCAGGAATTCCCTCGGGCAGCTGGTGAAGAGCAGATTTCATCTGGGGTCTGAGGAGGTACACAAGGAGAAGCTGGCTAGCTCTCTGAGAAGAGAAAACCCTTTCTGACTACTTGTACATAGTTCCAGGAAGTTGTCCTCAGTTTTATAGTTCCTTGGGCATCCCATGTACCCACCATCCCCATCCTAATAAAATCCAAAAAAACAAGGACTGTTTACTGTCTCTGGAGTGCAAGGTCTGAAGGAAATGCATGTTGCCTGGTTGTGAAGGACTTTAGGGGGACCCAAATCTTTAGGGACTCCTAAGAGGGTAGTGCTACATATGTACATGCAGTATAAATACTAAAGTGTGGGGTCTTGTTAGCTACTATGGTGTATACTTGGTGTTAATAAATATTTAAATATTGTAAATTATACTAAAATTGTTGTAAAACCAATACACTTGGAAAATGAAAATAAAATTGTGTGTAAAAACTGTGAAAAAATGTGGTTTGCTTACACTCTACACATACTCATACCATTGTGTCATAGAGAATACGATCAGAGATGGTGTCGCACTCCACTACCAATTGCAATAATAAAATTGTGAATAAATAAATATTAAATAAATATTAGTCCAGCATCAAAAGAATATATATCAATATCACTGCAATTATATTACTGCTGCAAACGTGCTTATTAAGTCCGTGTCTTTGACACTTCTTCTAGTGCTGTGTACAAAATAATAACCGTGCAGTCCACCAATCATAAAAAGTATTATACACTTTCACTGGTTGTGCTCTCACCTGGTTTATATGATCAAACCGTTAAGTGAGGTCATGAAAAAATTGTGTACCTTTGATTGGATTTAGTGGTATAGGGATAGGATTATCCCTCTTTCCTTGGGATGGATAGATGGATTGACGGAGTGTTCCCTCTTCCAAGCAGGGGGTCCCCTCGCTTCCTTATGGATTTTCCTGGAGCCGAATGGATGGACGGAAATGTCCCTCTTCCCACTAGGTGATCTCCTTGCTTCCTTAGGGATTTTTCTCCATAGGTGTAATAGTCATGAAATGTAATAAAGAAATATAGTGCCTAATCCTCTTTAAAATTAATTTATTAAATAAAGTAGTGCGCTCACATGTGTTACAAGTTAAAAATGCATTAAAATGTTGAAATGTGAATCCACAGTATAGTTTTTCAATATTGCTGTATACTTGGTGTATATTGCTTTAAACGTCGTGACGTCAAAGCCACTCCCCTAGGGGAGGGGCTCTGACGTTACGACGCTTAAAGCAAAATAATATAATATAAAGCAATATACAGCACATATTCAGCAATATTGAAAAACTATACTGTGGATTCAAATTTCAACATGTTTAATGTGTTTTTTAACTTGTAACACATGTGAGTGCACATGTGGTCCTCACTTTATTTTTAAAAGTCCTTCCTGATTGTCCTACAATTCCTCTTGCATAGAATACATACAGTCCTGTGAATGTTAATTGGGAATCTGATTGTTACAGGTGGTAATCTTGGTAATGGAATATGTTAATTCCTGCATTAGCAGGAAAAGTAAAATTTGGGTGAACTAATGGCTGGCTTTCACTGCTCTGTATTTTCTACTGAGATATCACCCCCATTATATTCATTGTTTGGACAATTTTTCACATACAGGGGTGCAAAGTCACTTGACCTGTTTCCTGGACTTACTTTCATTATTAGTTATCAACTGGAAGAAATCTGACATCTTTCATTGCAGGCATCTTAAAGCTGAACAGTTTTTGTACATGTGCTGTGTAAAAAGTAATTGCCCTTATGAAGTGTGTCCTATTGATGGATGATGCTGCATTGAGTAAAAAGTCTTAGCTTTTTTTCCTCTTTTTATGTTACCCCCCCCCTTTTTTTTTCTGCTGCTTCTTTATCCCCTTCCATGTTTTTGCATTCTCTCAAAGCATCTGACTCAATTCAATTATATTCCAATGTGCAGGAAACCTTCTATAGCCTATATATTATATGAAGATTTGGATAAAATTGAAGAGTCTTTTTGCTGTTGGTTACCAATCTACAGACCATTGCTCCCAGAGAAAATACGCAATTTGCTAGTTTATAACATTACTAGCAACTTGCTCTCGTGAGTTTATTCATTTCTATTGGTGAAGGATTTCTGCACATTGGTAATGGATTTTTCACTTCGTATTATTTGAATTGAGAGACATCAGAGACATTTTTTGAAGTACTCTTATTGTAATTTTTATGAAGATTTATATATAATTTTTCACAATAAGTTTGTATTTATTTGTTGTATCACCATCACAATAAGTTTTGATTTATTTGTTATATCATTATCACTGAATTGAGTTAATTTAGTAAGCGCTACCTTTTTTTGATTTACACATTCTGGAAACAAGTTTTGATGATTAATAAACACAGTTAGAATACTTAGATCTGTTTTTGAGGTCATACATGACATGCACCATGTTTATAACATGTTTTGTTACTAACAAATCTATCTATTAACTGTTGACCACTACAAGGTATGCATATGTTGCTTCACAGTGATACCTACATTATTATTGTTTGCAGCCAAATCAACTCATAACCTTATGGGAATACCGACTCAATTTCTTTCTTCAGTCTCTGTAAAATTTGATACTTATCATCATTGTTTAAGTGGTTGGTTAGTGATAAAGGACTAACGTCCAGTTCAGTGACAGTTAGCCATGGATTTCAAAGTTTGTTACATTTTTTCGAGCATCCCCTATAAGTAATGTGGTTTTAACTAAGAGAAGAAGGATTATGAGCTTTCGGGCCAAAAATAAAAGCCTATGAAAAGAGAAGACAATTTCTGGGAGTATTCCTCCTCGTCTGTTGGCTCCAGTATACAGAGTAAGGGGTCCGGAGCGATTGCCATCTTATAGGTTAAAAGAAAAATGCTGGATTTCTGGGGTGGTGGTCTGTGAGAGATAAGTCACTTCCATCCTGTCACCATTAGTTGCAAGAATTTCAAGTGGTGAGCAGAGCATTTATCAAGCACAATGTTTTACTCTTGCTTAATTTTGCTGTGAGAACCAGGAAGAACTTCAGGTTTCATTTGAAATTTTTTTTTCATAATTCTTTTTGTCAAAGTCATATATAGCCATAAGAAACATTAGCTCAGCACCACATGGATATTAAAACATATGGTCATGTAGTTATGGTCACCTTGTTACCATTCTCTTAAAAGTGCATATATGTGTAGAATTTCCATGTAAATAATATTCAGAATAATATCTGTATGTTTTGTTTTTCGCCAGTTATAAATGGACATACGTCATGTTTACGTTTATTACTTGAAATAGCTGAACAGAATGAAGTTGTAAATGTGGTGGATGAAAAGAAACAGTAAGCATTACGTTTTACATAGCTTGATTAGCACTTTCATTTTTATCCAAGCCCTTTAGTTTGTATTTTGCCATATCGCCCATTAGTTGTTCAATCTCATGAAGTGCCTCTTATTGGCAAAAACACTCTTTGAATAATAACGGACATATGAATAATTTACTATATAATTATTTATCTGTGTAATGTATGTGTGCTTCTGTATTTCAAATGTCCTGCCAGCTGGCTAGTAACCTTAGACTACATTCATAAATTCAATTAGGGACATTCCTGTGGCAAGAATTCACAGATTTATGTGGGTGCGGGTGCCCTCTCTGCTCGAATGTGCCCAGTGGGGCGAGGTGTGTGGCACAGAAAGTGAATTAAAGAGGGGACATGGTTAAACAGGACATCCTCTGACCAGCAGGGGTGAGGTAGGTAGGAGGCCCTGAGCCCAAAGAGGGGAGGGAGGTAGTATGAGGAGAAGGTTTAAACTTGAAGATGCCATGACTGCGGAGGAAAGGGGTCTTTGACTTGGGAGGTAAGGTAGGTTGTAGGGAAATACAATGACCAGGGAAGTAGGTGCTGGGAGGTGCAACAGAGGCACAATGTATCACATGCATGTCCATTTCCATTCCAAAAGTGGCAGAACAGAAGTCAAGCATAGCTTTTTTTTTAAAGGATATAGCGTTAATTGTTTTCTGCAGTTTGTCTTGTTAATCATGGCTATGGTTGCTAAAGGAAGAAAGCTGCATGAAGTTTGGTAACATCTTCGCTGCTGCTTTGTAAGAGCATACTAAGAGCTTGGTGTTCTCATTGCCCTTTTACAAGCTTAGGCCTTAGGGCTTGTTTACACTTGCGGTCAGAGGGGAATAAATCAGCCACATTCTTACTGCCCCCCAACCGCCGCCCTTAAGCTGCAAAGGCAGCTGGATGGAGATGTACACATGCTGCAACTGTAATGCTTTGGGCTGTTGCAAAATTGATACTCCCTGTCACATTTGGCTGGAAGTACAGTCATCATACACAACTCAAGTAAATGTGGTGTGGTGGTACAGGCATTATAGAGTTAAAACAGGTGCTGAGGTGACGTATTGCCTCTTCTCTACCTGTTAAATCTGTCAAATACATCTGGAAAGCATGGAATTATGGGAGAGCACCTTTTAATCTCCTGTTTATTAAACCCCTCTGTATCTTAGTACCATTTATTAGTTGAACTTGGGGAACTTGTTACTGTTCTACATGCCGAGTATTTTGATTTAGACTATCATTTGGGTACCTATAGATGTTTGAGTGTATCTATGTTTACATTTTAAAATGTAAGGTGGGAGATTAAGAGTTTTGTTCTGCCTTCTGTATTTTTTTTTTAACCAACAGAACACCTTTGATGCTCGCGGTAGAATATGGGCACATAGATGCTGTCTCCTTATTACTTGAAAAAGAAGCATCAGTAGATGCAACAGATATATATGGATGTACAGCTTTGCACAGAGGGGTAAGTTTTTTGTGTTTCTTCAAAACACTATGAACAAATAACTGCTTCCCGACCACCCTATAGCAGAACTACTGCTACGGGGCGGAAGGGCAGAGCAAAATCACATATATATATATATGTATATATATACGTGATTTTTTGTATTTCCGGGTAGGGGGTGCGCCATTGGCAGCTACGGCTGTCGATCGCCGAGGAACACTGACGGGGGAGAGGTCTGTATGTAAACAATACAGATCTCTCCCCTGTCAGCTCCAGCACTTAGCTTTGTATTGCTTTGCATAGCAGAGCAATACAAAGCAATGTGCTTACACAGTAAAACACACACAGCACATGTACTCTTTGATTTCCCCAGATGTTAACCCCTTTTAATCCCAGTGTCATTAGTACAGTGTCAGTGCTTTTTATTTGCACTGGACATGTTTAATAGCAAAAAGTAAAAAATATTATTTTCTTTTTCAAAATAGTCGGTCTTTTTTTTGTTCTATAGTGCAAGCAAATAAAAACCACAGAGGTGATCCATTTGTGGGAAAAAAAAAGGACATAAATTTCATTTGGGTGCAGCATTGCATGACCGTGCAATTTTTTGTCAGTTAAAGTTAAAGACGCATCACCGTAATGCAAAAAATGGCCTGGTCAGTAAGGGGGGGGGGGGGAAATCCTCTGGAGGGCAAGTGGTTAAACACAAGCAGCAACACATACAGCTGTACAGCTTAGAAGAATGAAAATTCATACAACACCACTTCCTATATTGCAAAACAATAAAAATAATTTTTAAAAACCTCCATGATGATACATTAAAAATATTTAAATATCTTGTGTGTGAATGTTTCCTGATCTGATTTTGCAGTGTACCCCAATCAAAACATGATTCTCACATTTATTCTTAGGTAATGACAGGCCATGAAGAATGCATTCAGATGTTACTGGATCAGGAAGCATCGGTTTTATGTACGGATATGAAAGGACGGACACCGCTTCATTATGCAGCTTCTCAGGGACATTCTACACTGCTTAGTGAATTGCTTCAGATTGCACTTTCGGAAGAAGACTACAGCTTCAAAGATAATTATGGGTATACACTTTTGCATTGGTCATCATATAAGGGTAAGTTAAACATCTCAAACAGCTCAGTATTCACAGACTGCTATTTATGTAACACTGATATGTTTGTGCTTTAATGTATAACAAAATCCTGCCCTATTAATACTGTGTTTCTGCAGGCAATGAAAATTGTTTAGAGGTGCTTTTGGAACAGAAGCCTTTCCGTAATATCAGTGGAAATCTATTTTCGCCTCTACACTGTGCAGTGTACGTATTTTAAATCTCCTATTTTCTCCACAAAATATTATTTATGTAACCGTAACGCTTGGACTACAAATAATTAGCCTTTATGTTGTAGAGATCTGGGAGATGGAGAGGTTGAGAAGTTGAGTAGGCACTGGATGGGACTGACAACATGCCATGAGTTTGATTTTATTAAAACTGCAGAGTGCAAAATCTAGTGCAGCATGGTAGCCAATCTGCTTCTAACTTCAGTTAGTTCAATTAAGCTTTGAAAAAAAAAAACATGGAAGCTGATTGGTTTCTATGCAGAGCTGCACTAGATTTTGCATTCTGCAGTGTTAGTAAATCAACCCCTATGTGTTGTCAATCCACAACAGGGCTTTAGAACTGAGTGCGTGCCTGACAGATTAACGTATTTTTCTGTGCTCACTGGGTCTTCAAAAGGCTAAAATACAGGGAAATGTGTAAGTATTGCAGTGATGCACTGCATACGTTTTGGCTTTGATGCCTTAAGACCAAGAGAAACTCTAGAAAGGTGGACTAACCTTTCCAAAAGAGGTTTTATAATCATTTTTAAGTGAGGCAGTGTTTTGTGCTCACATTTCTTATAGTGTTGATTTGAAAAACCATCAGGTCCCGTTGTTTTCCTGAATATTAAGCCTAAAAAGAACCCTTGTCTCTGGCATTGCTGACTTTTCCTTCTGAAAATGCTAGTTAATGCAGTTAATTATGCCAATTGATATATTATACATATTTTCTTTATTTCAGGATAAATAATCATGAAAGCTGTGCAGCACTGCTCCTTGGATCTATAGGTGGAAACATTGTTAATTGTAAAGACAAGAAGGGAAGGTATGATCAAATGCTCTATGGTGAAGCAGACTTGCCATGAATGATGTAATGCATATGGTCATTTACATTTAAGATATAGCCATATCTAAAAATAAAATATGGTACAATGGTTATTATTCTTTTTCCAGATGATAGCTTAGTTAAATGGATCATCCCATCAAAAACTGTTATTCTGCTTTTCTCCAGCAGATACTAGAATCATTTTAAGGTGGTTCTAAAGACTAATTTTGCCTTAATACATTCCCTGAATTAAAGGTAAAAAACATTTTTTTTTAAACAATTGGCTTTTATTTAGAAAGAAAATGCAGAACATATGAACAAGAATGATCTACAAGAAAGCATAGCTTATTATCATGTCATGTAATACACAGTTTACAAATTAATTTTGGAGCAAACTCAGTAGTATAATCAAAACATTAGGATCCATTCACATAGTAAAACGTTTCGCAAAACTTCCAAAAAGAAGCCTCAAGGTGCCTAAAAATACATATACGATCAAACAAAAATACGTATTCCGGGAATCCCTAGACACCAAGCCAATGAGAAACTTACAGAAAAAGAACTAGTTGTTGTGATGATAGTGGCGTCAGACCCCCGCCCTTCTCACCAAACTCGTGACCGAAGGACTAGCCAATCTAAAACCACGATGTCACGTGCGTAACAATGCCACGCCCAGCTGCACCCTGCACAAAGATTTTCCAGCTCACTGGACCACAAATTGATGTACCGGCAGCCTGAGAGCGATTGTTACTGGGTCAGGTTAATTACGCAATTAACCCTTCACACTGCCACCACCTCCTTTTTATACAGAGAAAGAGGAAACTCAGCAATATTAGCAATAACACTATGATGGTTGAAATAATCGTCTGTATACCACTGTCACCGCAGGCAGGTTATACAGAGGGTTAAACACACACAGTAGCGCTCTTCAGCGGTAGGAATTCGTAGTTTGCATGAAAGGCGTTAGAAACAGTTCAACACTTTCAGAAAATAAGATTTATTACTAAAAGGTCAAAAGGGTGCAATAAAAATATTTACAGAACAAGATGTAGCCAATATATATATATAAATATACAGAGAACAATAGCACAGCAAAGAGAAAACAGAAAGGAGTTTAAAGGGTTAAAGTACTTGCCAATCAGCCTTGGTTTAAGCAGTTTCAAGTCTTATGAGCTCAAAAAGGATTTCTTGTCTCTCACTGTCAGTTTCGATGTTAAACAGAAGACTCTTCTTTCTCTCTCCACACATAGCCTTTTTCTAGGATCTCAGCAGGGTGTCTCCCTAGAGCAGTGAAACCAATCGTCTCCTTTGGGGAGGGAAGTGTAGGTGGAGGCCTAAGTTATGACTAGAAACTCTCATAGCTGCTATTATGATTCATAACTCATTCTCGGGGCATTTTCCAGCCTGGGCACTAGTATATTAATACTCAGCCGCATCTGCGGAATGGTTAGAGAAGAAACATGTCATACCTTATACTAAACCTCCCTCAACACTTTCCTCTTTTGACCTCGCCACTACCGAAGAGGTCACTAAGGTTTTCTCAGAAGCCTGTCTCACTACCTGCCCCCTGGATCCTGTCCCCTCACAACTACTACAGTCACCCTCTTCTTCCATCCTATGCTCCCTCACTCACATCTTCAATCTTTCCCTCTCTACTGGTGCCTTCCCCTCCCCTCTAAAGCATGCGCACATCACTCCCATACTTAAAAAGCCCTCCCTGTACCCCACCGATCTGAACAACTTAAGACCCATCTCCCTGCTGCCATTTACCTCTAAACTCCTAGAACGCTTAGTCTACAATCGCCTGAGCAGCCACCTCACCGACAACAACCTTCTTGACCCTTTACAGTCTAAGTTTTGCTCTCTACACTCCACTGAAACTGCCCTACTAAAACTCACAAATGATCTACTAACTGCTAAGACCAATGGCCACTACTCCGTACTCTTACTACTTGACCTCTCTGCGGCTTTTGATACGGTTGACCACCCCCTCCTCCTAAAAAAACTCCACTCTCTTGGCCTCAGAGACTCTGCTCTCTCCTGGTTCTCCTCCTATCTATCGCAGCGCTGTTTCAGTGTTACCTATAACTCTGCCTCCTCCTCTTCACTCCCTCTTTCTGTAGGGGTCCCTCAAGGTTCTGTCCTTGGACCCCTTCTCTTCTCCATCTACACCTCCTCCCTTGGTCACTTGATAAACTCCCACGGCTTTAAGTACCATCTCTATGCTGATGACACACAAATCTATCTTTCTACCCCTCACCTCACCCCTTCAGTCTCTACTCACATTACTAACCTACTAAGTGACATATCGGCATGGATGTCACTCCTCTTCCTCAAACTCAATCTTTCAAAATCAAAACTCTTAGTATTCCCTCCAGCCCGTGCCCCCCCCCTGACTTCTCCATCAAGATCAATAACACAATCATCAGTCCCTCGCCTCATGCCAGGGTACTAGGTGTAACCCTAGACATCCCATCTGTCCTTTCAGCCCCAAATCCAATCACTTTCCAAATCTTGTAGACTTCACCTCCGCAACATCTCCAAGATATGACCGTTCCTAACCTCGGAAACCACTAAGCAACTTATTCACTCCCTTGTTATATCTCGCCTTGGCTATTGTAACTCCCTCCTCATTGGCCTACCTAATCGCAGGCTATCCCCTCTTCAGTCTATCATGAATGCTGCTGCCAGACTCATCCACCTTACTAACTGTTCTGTATCTGCCACCCCTCTCTGCCAATCCCTCCACTGGCTTCCCGTTGCCCAACGGATAAAATTCAAAACACTAACAATAACGTATAAAGCCATTTATAACTCTGCCCCAAATTACATCACCAATCTTTTCTCTAAATATCACCCAAACCGTACTCTCCGCTCCTCGCAAGACCTCCTAATCTCTAGCTCCCTTGTCTCCTCCTCCCATGCTTGTCTCCAGGACTTCTCCAGAGCTTCCCCCATCCTCTGGAACTCTCTACCCCAATTTATGAGACTATTGCCTACTCTGCTCACTTTTAGGCGATCTCTGAAAACCTATCTCTTCAGGGAAGCCTATCTTGCCTCAGCTAATACTGGAATCTTCTACTCTTCCAACCAGCCCATCCCCCACAGTTACTACCTTTTGTACCACTAGCCCCTCCCTTCTAGATTGTAAACTCCAAGGAGCAGGACCCTCAAGTCCCTCTTGTATTGAACTGTATTGTTACTGTATTGTCTCCCGTTATATTGTAAAGCGCTGAGCAAACTGTTGGCGCTATATAAATCCTGTATAATAATAATAATATTAATATCTACTTGAATGGTTCAGGAGATATAATTTTCTGCTCTCTTACATGTGTCAGATAAGGGGTGCAACATACCAGGAGAATGGTCTCAAATTGAGCCGTCCAAATATGGGCTCCATGTTTAGGTAATTATGTCCTACGTGAAGATATCAACTTATATGAAAAAGTGAGTTTTTAAAAGTAAGTTCAGTGAGGGACTTTTACGATATCCCAGATTGCACAGCTACCAGATAGGGGGCACCTAGCTGGTGAGGTTTTATAGCCAGGACGCCCTCCCACTGGGTTTCAATACCTTTTTGAACTCTGCATCAAACAGACCACATGTCACTCAACAGAGAGGGAGGGGGGATGATTTGAGGAAAGAGGGAAAGAGAAATTTGATTGTACAAGATGGACGGTGCTTTGCCAAAATGGAGGTTCGTATCCGTCTCTGTGTGCATGATTGCTACACCTCCCTCCTCAGGTGGTTGCATGGGAGGGAACTGCAATTTCCCTCCTGACGCAACCGACTCCTGCCACTGGTTTGCCTGACCAGGGCACAGAGGCACTGTGCCCAGAGGTTCACCTTGGGGTGATATGGTGCCATTGCACTGCAGGAAAACGAGGTTCCTTCTGAGAAGGGTGATGTTCTCCCCAGCAACACTGTTGTGCCAACCAAGTGAGTTGTCAGGGGTAAGTATCAGTCG